AAAAATATTACATTAAAAAAAACCACAAACACCCAACAAATATATTAATTGATTCCCAGTACATAGCAATGAAAATTAGAATATGTAATTGTGGAAACAGTGTCATTTCATAAAGCAGCTTTTACTTTTCCTTTCCATCTAAAGTATGATCATAAACAGCTTATATCTTTGAAGAAAACAAGGAAATGACACAATATTACCAGAACCCATGTATACAAAATTATAGGGCTTGACTTAGGGACCTGAATAAATTGGGAGAAATAACATTCTGTCATTGGAAACCTCAAATTTGAAAAGATGTTAAAACTCTACAAATTAATTTATAAATCCAATGAATATCCAGCATCCCTTTTTTTTTCTTTTCTCTCTGTCTCTTTTTTTTTTTTTTTTTAAAGATGAGGTCTTACTATGTTGCCCAGGCTAGATTAGAATTCCTGAATTCAATCCATCCTCCCACCTCGGCCTCCCCAGTAAATGGGATTATAGGCACACGCCACCATGTCTGGCTATAGCAGGATTTTGTATTGGAATTCATCAAACTGATTATAAAATTTATTTTGAAAAGAAATATGTAAGATTTTGAATAAGAATAAGATCAAATTTTGTCAACTGCAATATACTATAAATCTAAACTATTTAAAACAATATGGTAATGGTGCCAAAAAAATAGAGACTAATTAAACAAAATCAGATTAATTCCCTAAAATATGAGCATTTTCATTAAGATAATGATATCATTTAAATCCATGGATAAAGAAAGTCCTTTACAGGATATTTAATAAATATTTGCTATTCTTCTACTTGCTATCTTTGAAGAAGCCAAAGTGTACATGATATGTTTAGGAAACTGAAAGAAGGTTGATATAAATTGAATAGCAAAACTATATCAACTCGGTTACAATGAGATATGAATAATCCTTATTATTGATTATAATCACTTTGTTGTGCTAGTACGTATTTTTCATTCTATCTAACTATATTTTTGTACCCATTAACTGTCCCCACTTTATCCTCCCTCCCCACTTCCTTTAACTCCAAATAAATACAGGGCATTTGCCTGAATAAATCTGATTGTGTATTTATTTACTTTCATATTAATAGTAAAATTATCTCATGCGCAGTAAAACACATTAGAAGTACATATTCAATGAGATTTACATATTTTCTGGTGAATTTGTATAAACGATAATGAAATTATTTATTTCAAACTTTTAAGGCTTCCAAAATTGTCATTGAAAGCAATGCTTGGCCTCAGTGAACAAGGAATCTAATTTTGGAAAAAAAATCATCCACTAACATAAATAAAATGCTCCATTTTAAAATAATTTCTATCATTTAATGCAGATGAGTCAAAAGATCCTTTCCTTTCAATTTCCATCTGTCCTCTATCTTGAGGATATCACTACTTATTTGCTTTCTCACCATCATTTCAAACTCATAAGGATTCCCATGAACTACTGTTTCAAAACCCTTCAGTCCTTCTATTATGCCTGGCTCTTTTATTGAAATAAGTAACATTACTGCCAAGAATCAGGATAGTGGCATAGTGCTCTGATTAATGGCGTAGGCTCTACAGCCAGAACACCTGGACCCAGGTCCTGGCTCTGCCAGTTATTAGCTGTATGACTTTAGAAGGCACGTTGCATGACCTCCCTGAAACTCCATTTCCTCACCTTTAAAGTGGAAATAATAATAAAACATATTTATATATCTTATAGGGTTGCTGTGAGAATTAAACAAATTACTATATATAAAACACACCACCATCTCGCACCTTGTGTTTGATAATTATAAGCCAGTGATATTAGTTCTCTCTGAGTTCCTAACCCTTTCCTTGGGGTACTCAACATTTCTCTCTCTCTCTCTTTTTTTCTGTTCCTCTTTTAGTGGAATATTACATTAAGTACACTCTCTTTCTGGCTTTCTGGACTCTCTAAACTTTTATGTCAAAATAATTTTTCTGTCATACTTAATACTATCTTCAACATGTCCCTATTCCACGCAGAGCAAAAGCTACATCTTAATCATTGTCTCCATATATCACTATCTCAGCAGGGCTTCCTCCATCTCTATTATGTCTAAATTTCTGCCCAATAAAATGGTGCCATAGCATGGAATAGCCCTCGTTTACCTTTGCTACAAGTGAATCCCAGCTCTCATTAAACAACTATGTTCAATTGGTACAATTTCCTTGGAAATTTCCTCCCTGATAAATTGTACTTAGATTTGCCATTCAGTTAGTAGGCAAATCTGTGCCTGAAACTCTATAGAATGCTTGGTTAGAAGGAGGCACTCATATACCATCGTTCACCAAACGAAAAAAATCTTAGTAATCGCTCTTGGCTTCCTTCATGACAATAAGGAGAGCAGAAATCAGAGATTTCTTTTTTTAAAAAGCATAAAAGCACTGGACATTTCTTCTTTAACCTGCTGTATGTGTTCTCCCCTCCACATTACTTATTTCCCCAAAATTAATTTCCATAACTTCTTTACAAACTTTGGCTTTGCTTCAATCAAAGTAATCATCAAGGCTTCTAAATGTAAGGTTATTATTTTGATGGGTTAAAATGCTACAGGATGTGAGATGCTTTTTAACATATGGAAGAGAAGAAATTTGACTGAATACATATACCGTAAAAGCAGTTTCAGGTCCCATGTATGAAACAGCACCTATTGCTAAGATAAGTCATGCGTTCATATCAGCACAGACATAACTAACCAGTTTCACACAAGTATCTTAGAAGAGTATGTGATAAATCACAATAGCAAAATTAAGAGAGTTACCCATGTCTTAATCTGTAGCTTGGAAAATTAGATTTTTAACATTAAAACTGTACTTGGATGTGAAATAGTACAAAATATTAAAAGAACTGAGTTTATTTTACCATTTTGTCTCAAATTGAGTAAATACCTTGAGTTTATAATCAACATTATTTTATTTAATGACTATTTGAAGGAATAACTGATTTTAACATAAATTGAATTATGAATATAGCATAGCTATTACTATAATTAGCATAACTAAAATCTTCTGACAGAAGATTGATACATATTTTGTCCAGAACAGTTCTCCCCAGTAGAATATTTATTTCTGTCTTGTGGCACAAGCTTCTTCTCATCATGAATCACATTCAGAAAAACATTTTTAAAAAACTGCTATATATCAAGAAAAATTGCCAGTATTTGAAGGTTTTTTTCTATCAAAAATTAAATATGCCGTAATGGTCATTTTCATTAATGAAATTGGGAAGAGATTATTAATCTTCAGAGTGTTAAACTAAACTTGCAGAGAAATTGATCAAGCTTCTAATTTGGAAATATCCTGTGGCTATTATTGATTGAGAGTTTGGGACGCTAATTATAATTCATATCCAAACATGAAGAATGTGAGACAGAAATTGTTTTTTAAAATTTCTTAAATTAAAAAATATATACTATTTAGCTTAATAGAGGAAAATTTTCAGGCATGAGTGTTTACTGTGGAGATCCACAGAAAAACATACCTGGCCAGGCTGAAGGCATCGTCGATCAAACCCGCTCGATTACTGACAGATAGAACCTATGAGGCCAATCAGAAAAAAAAAATGGAATAATTTAGATTAAAATGGCAGGTGTTCACATATCAAAACAGATCTTTGATGAGCAAATCCAGAGTATACCTCATGGTTCCTGATTAATTGATCAATTAACAATCGCCAGTTCCTTAGGTCATAGTTGACTCTAAAATAACCAGTTTGATTGATGTTCCCCAGCAGCCAGCTTCCTTTGTTGAAATAAGTTATTCTGTGGTGCTCTGAAAATAGCATTTTGGAAGTAAATAGATTTTAAATTTTAAGAGTGAAAATGGAATGGAGTATATTTTCTTAAAAACAGATATAACAATACCAATAGTTAAAAGAGAATTCCAACCTAAATACCTAATTGAAACCTACTCTTTAATTAATCACTTGCATCTAGAATTTGTTAGACAAACCTTTAGTTGGTTACTAATTATAATCTCAATTAACTGTTTTCTTATAATTAACATTTTTATTCTTGATAAAACCCTATTGCCTATACATAATTTTCTTTCTCAAAATAAGTGTTACCTAGAAATCTACCATTGTATTCACTCAGCTTCCAATTAGATTGTATTAGGATATGTTGCTAGAATAAAAGCAGAGGTTTTAAATGCATAGTTTACTTATTTTGCTTAGTAAGAAATTGATTAAAAAACAGAGCTCATTTACTTGAAAGTCACTATTTTTTCTTGCCTTTTTTTCTTGTGCTTTCTTGGAAATACTAATAAATAACAGACTTTTCAACATCATCAATAATGGTAGAAAAAGGAATCTTGTTTGTTCAAGACTGTAATATTTCCATATAGAAACAACGATAATAAATTTTTATTGGGATCACAGTGGAAAATGGTAACTTGATTATGTTTACCAGCTAATTTAGCAGAAGCCAGTAAAAACAATATTATAACTTCTTACATATTTAACTCCTTCAAATATGGTACAGAAAGAGAACTCCATTCACTTGTAAAGTTAAGCTTCTTTGATTGCACAGAATCACATTTCACAATTCTAATAATTTTGCTGTTGATCTTCAGTACTCATGCTTCATAAAATTTACACAATGAAGTTGACCAAAATCTAAACACACACACACACACACACACACACACACACACAGTCTGACATCCAGGAGGAAAAAAAACAAAACCACATTGTTCTACCGACAATGACTCAAAACCATAAAATACATCACAGAAACCATATGCCACAGGTCTGAGAACATCTCTAGTTCTTATGCCATTATCGAAGTTTTTACACATCAAACGTGAAATAGAAAATAAATTTTCCCCTTTATTTCCTTGAATTTACAGAGTACTCTGTCTCAAGTAGAGGCCACACAAGAAGTTACACCACAAAAATTATTGGGAGGACATTGATGACCATTCATTTCTAAGGTCTGGAATCGGGTGGGCTAATTAATCCAATGCATGTCACAGACCACCGATTTTCAAAAACCTGCAGTAATACAAAATGTATTTAACCCAGAAGTATGCTGAATGTAAAAATTTAATCTTTAATATTTCAAATATCACTCCAACTTCTCACCACCTTTATAAATCATGTCTATTGGAACATATATGGTAATTGAATGGTCCAAATGGTTCATCTTAGGTCTCCTGACTTCATGTTTTTTTTCCTATGTTATGATCTATTGATACAAGATGAGATAACACTTCTGCTGTAATATGATATACATTTGTCACATTCTTATATTGATTTGAAAGGGGGAAATGGTACTGGAAAAAGAAATAGAATAGTGTAGGAAAGCTGGATTCTTATTTCAGCTTTCCTAAACATAAATATTTGAATGTAGGTCATTGATTCTCTTTGGTTCTCAATTTTCTTACTGTAACCTGGAGGTCAAACAATGGCCCTTAAGACCCCTTCCAAGTCTATGATTCAATGGAAGAAGGGGCTATTTTTCTTACAGATTATACTTTCCTTAATCCATGGTCCTTGGAAAAATTAATCTACCAGGTATTTTTCTAAAATGCAAGTTATTTCTCAAGTCTCTAAATCTTTATAATTGTATATTTTTCAAAATTTCAATGTTTAGCCACACAATTGCTTTGAAGAAGTTTTAGAATGTCACATCCATTTTACGAATGTAAAAATGACAATAAAAATTACTAACAATATGGCATTCTTAAAAACTAAACTAAAATAACCTCATAAAGACTTCAATTGATCATTCCTGAATTCAGTGAATAAAAATTAAACTTAAATATCAAGAATATTGTTTCTCCTGAGTAACCCTGTCTTCAAGTATACTAAGATTTTTATAAGAAAAAATATTAAAACTATGATCGAATTCACTTGAACTAAGAGCAAATTTGATAATTTCTGCCTAAGAAGTATTCTTTTTTCAAAAAGTTATAATATTAAAGCATTGAGTTTAATATATGATTTAGAGTTTTTACAAGTTTGAAATGGTCATAGATTTTTATGACTTTAAATCTACTTTTTAAAGTTGCTTCCTGTTTGCATTTTAGATAGCTAGCATAACTCAAGCCCAGGTAATTCACTTGGCTCTAGTTTTCAAACTTATTCTACTCAACAACGTATAGGTTGAATATAGTCAAATTAAAATTAATACATACATTAAAATAGAAAAATAATTCCTATACCTTCTACAATGTCTAACCAGAATAAGAAAAGCAGGTTTATATTGTTTTTAAGTATGTCATTATTAAATTTATATCTAAAGCCTGAAGGTTATTACTGTTCATGAATATTTTTATGCCTTGTTACAAATGAGATCTTTGGAGAAATGATTCCCTGAAAGATTTTGTAATAGATTTTTAAATATCTTTTCAGTTCTAGTTAATTATATCCCTAAAATGTTCTTCAAATTAACTAATGGCAAGCAATGAATTTTAAGGAGATCTTTTCCAATAGCCTAATGAGGTATGGTATTTGATTAGTACCATAATAAAAAGTATAGAAGTTATATTTTGAGTGTTGGTAATAATAATTAAAAATTATATTTAGAATGTATCCAAAATGGCACAAGACTTAGACTATACCAATGTATAGAGTAATTGGTATTTTATAAAATTTTATATTTTATACTTTCTTTTGTAATAAACAGGGAAAAGAGATTAGGCATTTCTACCCAAAACTTTCTGGTTGCAGAGAATTCAAATTTTTTAAAAGAGGGTCACCCAGAATAACAAGGGTAACACTGTGAGAGAAAATCAGGGATAAGACATTATAATAAGTTTCCTCGCTGGACATTTGTGAAAATAAAATGAGAATGTTCCGTAAAACCTATAAAGAACCATGTGCATATATCCAAAGACATCATGTTGAGTAACTGACAGATCTACAAAGCAACCTACCAAAGTGTCAAGATCTTAACCAGGCCCGGCGCGGTGGCTCACGCCTGTAATCCCAGCACTCTGGGGGGCCGAGGCGGGTGGATCGCTCAAGGTCAGGAGTTCGAGACCAGCCGGAACAAGAGCGAGACCCTGCCTCTACTAAAAAATAGAAACAAATGATCTGGACAACTAAATATATATATAGAGAGAGAAAAAATTAGCCGGGCATGGTGGCGCGTGCCTGCAGTCCCAGCTACTCGGGAGGCTGAGGCAGTAGGATCGCTTGAGCCCAGGCGTTTGAGGTTGCTGTGAGCTAGGCTGACGCCAAGGCACTCACTCTAGCCAGGGCAACAGAGTGAGACTCTGTCTCAAAAAAAAAAAAAAAGATCTTAACCAGTATATACTTGTGTACGCATGTGCGCGATAGAGTCAGGGGAGGGGGTCCAGAGAAAAGAAAACCAAGCTCCTAAAGCCAGCTCTTACCTAACTGACTGACATTTTGAGCAAGTTATTTCTCAAGCCTTATTTTCCTCATTTGTAAAATGGAGATAAAAATAATACTCATTTTAAAGGTTCGTGAATCTCTACCATTAAATTAGGACTAATCAATCAACACTATGTGCACATATGGAAATAACATTCATTGCAAACCAAGCAAGAGGAAGGAGAAAAGAGGGAAGGGGTAAAATCACACCTAACAGGTACAATGCACACTATCAGGGGATGGGCACACTTACAACTTTGACTCAAATGATACAAAAGCAATTTATGTAACCAAAACGTTTGTACCCCCATAATATTCTGAAATAAATTAAAGTAAAATAAAATAAAATAAAAGTTTGTGAGTCTCAAATGAACCAACATTTGAGGAAAGTACTGCAGCATTATGCTATTTTTAATGTTTACTTCTAATACTTCTAATATTCTAATTGATACTTTCAGGATCGATTTCTCTTCCATTTAAACCTTTTTTGACCCAACATTTGGCATTAAATTTATTCCCCTCCACTCACTGTTAGTTGGATAGCCAGTCAACATGCAACCTACTATATATAAACATATCTGAATTTTTGATATTTTCATATTAAGAATGAAAAAGATAAATACTTCAACCCGCTTTCAATAACTTGAAAATTGGTTTAAAAACTATTTTTAGGGCCGGGCGGGGTGGTGCACACCTGTGATCCTAGCACTCTGGGAGGCCGAGGCGCCTCACTCTGGGAGGCCGAGGCGCCTCACTCAAGGTCAGGAGTTCGAGACCAGCCTGAGCAAGAGCGAGACCCTGTCTCTACCAAAAAATAGAAAGAAATGATCTGGACAACTAAAAATATATATATAGAAAAAATTAGCCGGGCATAGTGGCGCATGCCTGTAGTCCCAGCTAGTGGGGAGGCTGAGGCAGAAGGATTGCTTAAGCCCAGGAGTCTGAGGTTGCTGTGAGCTAGGCTGACGCCAAGGCACTCACTCTAGCCCTGGCAACAGAGCGAGACTCTGTCTCAAAAAAAAAAAAAACAAAACTATTTTTAGGCTAAAATGATCTATGCCTTACCTTGGCATTAATTAGATATTCACCCAAAGTGTTTTCAAAAACTTGAACTGTCAAGAGTATATGATGATTTCAATCAAATTTATGTTTTGTAGAATCCATCAACGATTTCACCTACATATCTTGTAAGATCAAATCTATATCACTACTGACAATGAAAAGATCTGGCTGTTATAATTAAATATGGAATTTTTTTACATATGTTGAGAAAAATTGACCAGAATATTGTCTTCCTGTTTTTATGGGGAAAATTTTCATTGATATCAGTTGACAATATTTTGAAGAAAAGGAGACGTGATAACATATAAAAGAAGACAAGAGTTAATAACTTTCCTTTTTCTTCCTGATCTTTGTTTGGTGTTAGTTTTTTGTTAGTCATCAGAATGAAGGACATAGTGACAAAATTGAATACAATGGGGATGTAAAGGCAAAACAGGAAGGTGGCTTTCTTTTAGGTGCCTTTTGGAAACTTTCTTCCAGATTTGCATATTTATAAAGTTTTCAGAAAACATTTCAAGAAGCATTTACTTAGTATGGGAATCCTGAAAAAGCCTCAACATTTCAAACGGGACAATGTTTATGTCAAACAGAGGATTCTCCTATGATATAATGGAAAATGACCCATTGTCGTGTGCAGGTCACACATTGCACAAGTTTGGAGTGGGGGAATGTGTCCTTCATATCATAGTCTGTGTAAATAGCACCGCCTAAAGTTACACACTGCACAAACTGTGCAGCCATGTATAATAAACATACATATCAATGTAGGTAATATTTTAGGCAAAAATACGGTTTGAATCAATACGTAGTTGTTATTCCTGAATGATAATGAAAGGCTCTACAGGGAAATAATTCATCAAACATAATTGGTGGCTATTGGTCACAGAAAGCTGTGACACTATTCTCAATAATCTTTGAAGGATGAGGATACTACGAATAACAGCATGAAAAGAACTAGGGAGTTTAGAGGAAAGGTATCCAATAAGAATCAGACTTGCCCTGAATCTTTCCACCATCTAAAAGTGAAGTTTTGCACTAATCCTGCTGTTTGGTCAGTATATTTACACTTTTTTAATGTTCCCGTTTCTATTCTACCTTCCAAAGATAAACGTTTTACTTTATTTTGGAAGATTGCTGTCTCCCATGCTCCTAGCAATTCTGCGAGGGATGGCTTCATTCTAATAGTTAGAGCATTACAATAACAACTCACTGCTTTCACTCATGGCTTCATAACAACCTATGTAGATAAATTAAACAACTACATAGTGACAAGTATAAAGAAAAATAACACAGGAAATATGCATTCAGAATCATGGTATAAATATTAACTCCAGGAAATGAAAAGAACAGATTACAATAAACAATTTAAAAGGAAAACACTAAAGAATTTTAAAGTATGCATTTCAATGCATCACTGTGTTACATATCAATGTTTTATATACAATGCATGTAAATGAAAGCATATATTTTCATATTATGTGATTATGTGTTAAAAATACAATAAGATTAAAATTTAAATAAAAATGTACCTGGAACTATAAGTGTTTTTACTTCTGTTAACCAGATTAGATTTCGCTGTGAGAACTTTTTCTTGACTGTATATATGTATGTATTTTGAGCACTCAATAGCAAGACTGAGAGGAAGAAACAATATTTGTTTATTTATACCGATATTTCACCTTATTTAAAATAAAAGATTTGTAGCTGTTTAAAATATGCTTACCAAAAGAGTAAGATAATATCAATTAACAGCATGTGAGGAAGGAGTAAGAAAAAATGATGAACAAAATTGACCATCTAAATCTAAATGAAATGTTATGTAAAAGATGATAATTGTCTTTTATCTCCAATTCAATGGAAAACAGAAATAAAAGGGACCTGTTTCACATTGTAGCATGAAGGATATAGATTGGATTCAAGAAATAGCTTTCTGACAGTAAATTGAAATAGGTCACTATCTTATTTGAAGGTATTTAGAAAAAGAAGAGAATCTCATCTCTCTCTGCTCCTTGAGGTTTGACCCTACCTAGGAGGGTGTTTGATGACCTGTCTAAGCCCCTCCCTTCTGGCCCTATAATTAGATAATTCCATGGAGACTATTTCCTCCTCATCCCTTAAAGAGACAGTCTATTAAAGAGAAGACAGCAGCAAAGTGGGATTAAAAATAATGCCTGTATTTCAGTATTTACCATACCGTTCTATTGGGACTTATAATTATATTTTAGTTACATTTGGAGTTATAAAATTATACAGTTTAAAACAGCTAGGATTAGTACTATGAATACTAACTATAAATACATCAAAGAAATAAGTTCTTTAGAGTTATAAAATTATGCAGTTTAAAACAGTTAGGATTAGTAATACAAATACTAACTACAAATACATCAAAGAAACAAATAAATTTAATAATTATATAGGCAGACTGAAATTAGACTACTTAGAAACTATGTTATACTATATCTAATTTTATGGAAGTGATTATCATTTCTCTAACTTCTCTTTCTAATTTGTCTTCATTCACATTTTATAACAGCTCAAATCAGAGGTTAAGTTGCTAAATTGTTATCAGAAACCAGATAGTTCCTCAGGGGAGAATATATATTTTACCTGATTTGTTAGACACCCAAATAATTGCTTCTGAAGACACATGGCTTCTATTTCCTACCACAATAGTTAATGGAATCTGCCACAGGTAACTGCAAAATAAAAGAGAAACTTTAAGAATAAAAATAGCTACATTAAAACAAAAACAAACAAAAAAAATCATTTCTCACGCACCTTCTGTGTGATATTTATTACTCTTTTTAGGGAAAGTAAAAAAATTTCCCAGTCATAAAAATAAGAAATAAGTCAGGAAGATGAATTCACTTTCGATGCCACTAAGAAGACTTAGCCTCCAAGAGTTTTAATTTCAATGCAAAAACAGAACTGCCAACCAAACAATTTATCTTGAACAACAACAACAAAAAAAACAGATTTACATTTTGCATTTGAAAATAAAAAGTAACTAGTGTCCATAAATCTGAGCCACGTCATATATTGATTAAAGTCTAAAAATAACTCCTTTTTCTTTTTTTCCATATTAGATTAATACACATTTCAGTGGCTTCATGCATTTACATTTGAATATTCTCTTTATTTATTGTCTAATGATTCTGCAGGTCGCTATTAACATAATCCATAGTCGACAGAAAGGTTAATATGGCATGCCTAAAGTTACTCAGCAAAAAGGAATGGAAGAGTAAAACTAATTAGATTACCCTGAAATCCAGATCAATACAAAACACATTGTGGGGCACACATAATGCTTGTTTTCTGCAATGGAATTTCCAAATTGATGTGTCAAGGCATCCACCAACATGCAGGACCCAGTCATGAGTCTCAGCTATCAAAGAGAAGCATTTTCTAACATTAACCATTTTATAGGATAAAAATTGAGGCCTACACTTGTACATGAAGTAATATCAATTTCATCTCACATGAGTAGCCAGAAAGATACTGAATGGTCTTACAATAAGCCCACTGACTATATTTTTTTTCCTTCTTTGGAATATAGTCAGATTATTTTGATCTATCATTGAATGATTAGCAACAGGGTAGCCAACAATTCTAGTAAGGGAGAAATATTTTTCAGTTTAGAAATGTAAGAAGAGATGCTATGTCAGCTCAATAATGGTGAGAGTGAATAAAGAATTTATAATTTTTCAGTAAACATGCTTGGGGTGATAAACATTATAAAGAACATGTCTTTTTGGGAGTGTGGAAGAGGAAATCTGTCATGTGAAATTTGATTATTTAATCATTTCATGTTTTATAGCATAATAAACAGAATTCAGAAATAGTAAAGAATCGAAATGGAAGATTGGAAAAAGTTTTATACCAACTGCTATCTTCAGCAAAGTCAAAATAATATGTTTAAAATTCTAAATTTTAAAACTATCTGCTGTTTTTAACAAGAAAAAACATTTTTCAGAGCCAACTCTGTGGAGACACTATCCTATACTAACACTGACTCCACACAATCAGTCAGGAAATAAAACAATTTATAGTAGCCAAACCTGTATTGATTCTTCAGATAGTAGTTGGTGAACGATAACCCAGATAACCTCTTAACAAAGACTGCCAAGCTTCCAACACAGGACTAAGAATATTCATTAATATTTAATGACAGATTTACTGTGGAAGAGACAGAGAACTGATACATTTCTTTAATACTTGTTCTCTAAAAATGATGAATCTCTTTTGGTTAATTGGAATAATTAGTTAAGAGATAACAGTGCCTGACTCTGGGTCTGATTCTCAAGTTAACTTATAAGCTCATTTTGTCTATCTTGATCTTGAAAAAGCCTGGAAATAGGAGGCATTTTATAAATTGCTGTTAAATTTGATTGAATGGGCTTGGAGTAAAGTAAAATAAAAAGGTACCAAATCAATCTATAGGTTAAGACAGAGATTAACTTTATAAACTTGACTTTTTCACATACATCTTCCACATTGATTGGGTCAATTAAATTGGGAAGCCAAATAAGTATCAGTTAAAGAGCAAAAAATATGTAAAATTGAGGGTGTTTTAAAATCCTCAAGGATAAATGTGTCTGTTATGTAGCATGATCATAAAATGTTTACGGAATATTGTTTGCCCTTAATACAAGCAAACATAATTTTGTAGGTATTTAAATTGTACGCTTCTAAATAACTAGAGATTATGATAAAGTTGGTATGTTTCAACATTTAAGTTTTAGAAAAAAGTCTCTAAAGTACAAGAAAAAGATTCACATAAGTATCTGCATGCTTTATATAGTCAACACCACATACATACAGAAAACTCCCTAAATGTCAGACACTGCATCACATAGCTATTGAGATGCAAGTTAAATATAAGATTTTGAGATATACACATTGGGGTACATTGTAAAATGTTTAAAAGCATAGACTTCTGTATTTTTCCTAATAATGTTTTTGTACCTATTCTATGTGTGTTGTGGTGGGAAGTAGGTACACATACACAAAACAAAAATCTATACATCATCACAAAGACAAGTTAAAAGTTGCAAGTTACTAAGCATATCTGAAATTTGTATTCATTTGTGACCTGTTGTACTGTCAATACTACATAAGTTATTTCTCATATTTTTCCAAACAACATGTATTTGGTCTTTTCATAAACTTCATTTTAAAATCAAAGAAAGCATGATAATTATGTTGTTTTGTGACTACAACTTGAAAGACTAGAAGACACTAAACATAGTTGAATGAAAAGCCCTGTGTAATATGCCTATAAAGAAATCTAAGACTGCAATGGATTATGTTTAAAAAGAGACTAAGGAAAAGAATTTGTGAAATTAGATTGTGTTCCAACTGCTTAAATTTAACTTAAATTTTAGTCATCTCATTGTAAGCATTAAAAAAAAGTAAAAGCAAAAAAAATGCATTTTAAAAGATGCCCAAGACATTTTTTCGTTAATAGTTCCTGGGACTACCTTTCTTTATCAGTAGTTTGCATTTTCATATTAATAATAAAGCAAAATTTATTCTCATGATTATATTGAGGTAGAAAAGAACAGGTGCATATTAGCTCGTTCGAGAATTTTTTTAAAAAATACTATCAATATTAATGAAGCATTAGTGTAGACTTCGTGAAAAACTGTTCATAGATTGCTATCATCAGGTCAGTAAGAGAAGGAAAGTATGACCGTGGAGGTAAACATAATTCCCTGCAGCAGAGAACTTTGAGAAGCTCCTCAGTGTGTAAGGCGGCATTACTTAACATCGCAATGAGCATTAACTTTATCAAGAAAAAAGGGCTACACAAATTAGCAACTTCCCAAGTATCAAAATTCTAACATATTTTACACTCTGTTACACAGGAGCTAACTTTATGTGATTATTAGTTATGGAAAGATCTTTCTTTTCTATGCTGTAATATAACTATTATAATACGTACAAAAATTTAGTTACTAGATACATTAAAAATGTTCTAGGCATATTGTAATGATGTTCTAATGTGCCTTAGAAAAATAAAGACAAAGAATTGATTATCCTGGCTCAGAAAATATTCACAATTCACAGGATTTCTGACCTTGATGGGCAGTAGGATTTACTCCATCAACTGTTCGCATTGCAATAAAGATCTAGGAAGGCTAGAGACAAAGGCCAGATGTAATTGGCATTGAAGCTTTGACCGAAATGTTACAGTGAGTTAAACGATCAATAATATAAACTTAAATACTAAATTGTTAATTATAAGCTCTATTATTTTAAAATAAATAGAAAATCATTTTTGAGACTAACGGATGCCCTGCAATATCTTAATATTTTATATGTCAAGTTCTCCCGGTTCAAAATCATCCATGATTTTATAACTCCAGCAAAAGCAAAGCTCTCTGGATATTACATACACTTATACAGCCTGGGAGAAATTCTTCCTTTAAAGAGTCAGACTCGTGGCTGGTACATCTGATGTATTTTATAGATTGACAGAGTATTTTTGTTCAAAATTTGTTCTGTCATCTGTGTGTCCTTTATGTTTTTCTGCATCAATGATGCTTATGTCAGACTGATCCTTCTCAAAGGCCTGCCCCGAATCTCTCTAGCTTTGCCACAGTCAAGTAGTTTTATGTAGTTCCTGGCAAGGCCACGGTAGATGCCTAAGCGTGTTTAGCCTGGGGCCAGACGGGCGACGATCAGAAGCAGCACTTGGCAGCTGTAGGGAATCCAGGCTGGGTAAAGAAGCACATTGACAGAGTCAGACCCTAACGGTGGTGACAGTATGGCAGGGTGACACCGTATTCCACGAGTTCAAGGAGTTGGATTACAAAGGGCAGTGTGTTGAAGGTAATGTAGACTGTATATTAAGAAGATTTAAGACAGTGCTTTCCTAAATCGAATTCCAAATGTAGTCACCAGAAACATTCATGAATTCTCAATTACTTCTCTGTATAGCCAGTCTTGGAGCTAGTCTGCTTGGGAACAATTTCTATTCTTCTTAGAGATAACAAAGTTAACGTAATGTATGCTCCAGATCTCCTACAAAAGGTAATAGGAGACAGCCTGAGTAACCTAATCCAAACATCTCATTTTATTTGTTACATTTAACGTCTTTCCTTCCCTGTCCCCCAACCCTTGCCCAGCCTCTTACCAGGGCATCTTATATGAAGCAAAACTCATTAATTTAATTTCTATTATCTTTCATTGGCTCAGCCTTTAATGAGACACTAAATAGTCAGAAAACATTAAGTAGAAAAGAAATAAATCCTACAATCTGAGTTATAAGTAATTAAATAAGAGTTTCAAAAGAAAGTTTAAAAAACCCAACAAATACACATTCTATGTATGCTGTCTGTTTAGTGGTTTTAAACACTAAAAATAAGGGCAAGAGAACGTATTTTGATACTAAGTGGCACTGATACTTAGATCATTTCAAGTTATTTATTTTAAGTTCCTTTGACTCAGACATTATTTAGTTTAGATTTTTTTTGTTTTAATTAGTTTTTCTGGATTATTAGTTTCTATTCTTATTTGTTTTATAAATCTCAGTTTGCTCATTCCATTTAACGCACCACAATACATCTTAACTTTCTTGAGTTTAATTCAAGAAACATTCATGGGAAAAAGTGAAAAATCACATTTTATTTTTTTTAAATCACCATGATAATTTAAAATTTTGTCTTTCTAAACAAATAACCCTGGTGTGTGGTCTCTGTAAGAATAAAAATATCCAGAAAATGGGAGTAATAGAAGAATCAAAATGAAACTAGCATATGTAAATAAAGAAATGAAAGCTATACTTCCCTTACAGCATTTCAGAATTGCATTATCAATGCTATTTAAAACATAACAAAAATGCAAAGTGAAATGTAAGAATAAAAATGATTTTTTCACGTAAAAAAGATAATTGTACCTGTTATTTTGAAGTTCAAGTGCTTTAGTTTTAGCACTGATGTCATAAATAAAATGTTGTTGGGTAATTATTATTCTATTTTCTGTGGTTGTGTTTCCCAAGATGGTGATAACAGGATAACCCATCTGGAGTGTCCACTGATCCATTACTTCTTGTATATTTACATACTTTCCATTCCTTTTTAAAGCCTTTACAACCAAAATTGCATAAATTAGTTTTATAAACATCAATTGTAAACATAATTAACATTAAGCCAATTTCATTTTCACCTTTACAATTAACCTAAATATGAAAACATTTAAAGTCAGTGAAGTCAATATAACGTGCTAGTAAAATTAACCTTTTTGCCTGAAGTTAAGCTTCATGCATATATATACACATATATAAAAATGAAAGTTGTATTAATGTTAAAGTTTTTACATAACAGAAAGTAAATTATATTTTAATGCTAAAGAATTTCTTGCAGCATAAGTTATCTCCAGTATGTTTAGCGTCACATTTAAATATTTTTAATTCATATATAGAAAAAAATATTTAAAACTTCAATTATTTCTTTCTTTAACATGAATATCTTACAAGATATCAAAATTATATTTCAGAACTATTGTCATGTTTGAAATCAGGCAAGGTATCTTTTACTATGATTTGTAGTTTAAGTAATTTTAAACTCCGTTATCTTTATAATACATTACATTAAACATAAAACAAAAAAGCAATATGAGGAAATGGGAAATACAAAAAGTAAAAACAAACTGTCAGTGTCAATAAAGTTATGAATGTCATATATTCAATTCAAAGATTCAAGTAGAGGTTTTTGATACTTGAGCTTTCAATACTTTACCTCTGATAATGTATTCCAGAGATCATTTCTGGCTGCATTGCCATACTTGTGAATAGTTAAATAATCCTGCAAGAATTTAAAATTGTAATTACAATTCAAAGATTAAACAATTACCAGCAAACACGCTTATTTCTCAATTCAATTGACCATTTCCATTTGTTGGAATTGCATTAATATAAAGAGAAAGACATGCAAAAAGATTAAAAGTCTCATATTCCAAAGACCTTTAACTGTAGCATATTTCCTAATTAAGTCATCAAACAATGTTAATCTCTTAAAAATGATTTTTATAGCCATAGTCAGTTCTTGAAGATGTCCACGGTCAAAGATCTGCCTCTAATTGAGCAAGTCGACATTAGTCAATTTCAAAGAAACTACCTCTGCAGTGAAATATTTAGGGGAAAGTTTCCCATCAGGCTTTTGTGTTAAAGTGTTGAAAAAGAAATATTTTCTTTTATTGAAAAAGAAAAAAAGCCACTGATATGTGCTGATATTAAGAAGGATTGCTTTGCTGAAAGAGTACTTCCTCGACAATCTGTTTTCAGTTCCTTAGTCTCTCTGTAAAGGAGAGGCTGCCCATTCCAAAAATGACATACACTTATTTCTATGAATTTGAAACACATTAATATTTAATAAGAAAAAGTAAATCCTAGATTTATTTAATATTTTTGGGCTTAGAACGTCCCATTTCTCATGTTCAAAAATCAGTGGCCTTGGGCCGGGCGCAGTGGCTCACGCCTGTAGTCCTAGCACTCTGGGAGGCCGAGGCGGGTGGATCGCTCAAGGTCAGGAGTTCGAGGGCAGCCTGAGCAAGAGCGAGACCCCGTCTCTACTAAAAAATA